CTCAAAAAACAGAACTCTGGTGTCATCAGACCTTCTCTACTGCCCCAAAGGAGGCCACCACTCCATTAAGGACCAGGGCCAGAAGGAGCTGTCTAGAGCAGTGGTCGCCAAACTCGTAAGTCCACAGAGCCAAGTATCAACAGTACGACAATTGAAATTTCTTTGGAGAGCCACATTTTTTAAACTGAAACTTCTTCTAACGCCACGTCTTCAAAATAGACTCGCTCAGGCCGTGGTATTTTGTGGAAGAGCCACACTCAAGGGGCCAAAGAGCCGCATGTGGCTTATGAACCACGGTTTGCCGGCAGCAATTCCCACGATGCAGTCTCTGACCTCCCAGCCAGGAGCGGCGGTCTGCACGCCCAGGAGATGGGCCTCAGAGGAACTGATGTGCCGGCATCTTGGTCTCAGGCCCCCAGCCCCTAGAATGGGAGAAAGCAGACCATGGTCGGAGCATGCCGCCTGGAGCCGCCTGGAGATGGCAGCTTTACGAACGGAACGTGGGGAATCCAGGCACCAGCGCCTCCATGGAGCTTTAGGGCAGTCGATTACAGAGTGAAATCTTAGTTCATTCATGAACCCCAGGAGATGTGAGTACTTGAGCCACCGGAAGGTCCTGGCTCCAGCACATATGGAGCATAGATGCACCTTTGTGTTCTTTGTGAAAATGTCCTTTTTTAAGAAAATAAGTTTTCATTGATTTCAAAGAGGAAGGGAGAGGGAGAGAGAGAGAAACATCAATGATGAGAGAGAATCATTGATCGGCTGCCTCCTGCACGCCCCACACTGAGGATCCAGCTTGCAACCTGGGCGTGTGCCCTTCACTGGGAATAGAACTGTGACCTGCTGGTTCATAGGTCAACGCTCAACCACTGACCCATACCAGCCAGGCATAAATATTCTTTCCTAGAACGTATACTATTCTTACCATAAGAATTAAGCTAACAGAACATCATGAATATACTGAAAGTCCCTCTGAAAGCCTAAAAAAGCCCTCCTAAAGAAAAGCAAGTTTAATTTGTATTCACCCTAATTTAAATCAATTGTAGAGCTACGTTCCATTTTCTGTATGTATTTCCTTCCCTTTCTAAATGCACAGCCTGCCTCTGTGAGATCCCGCACCTCCCGCAGTCTGTCCCTCCCGCCTGCGCGGGCACATGCCGTCCATGTTCTAACCACCGACGGGCACACTCTGTGGAGCTCACCTCATCCTGTGGTTAAGACCCGATTGGATATAAACTTTGAATAAATACATGAAATATTTTAAAATTACTTCCACTCCGCTTAACTTTTATAATGCTAAGGGGCAGAAGACTATGCACACATAACCACCGATATCCACACAGAAGAAATACTATGAGCTAACAGTGACACGCTTTGTTGTACGTGAATGAATTTCCACCTGCTTTATGAAACAAAGAACCTGATATAAAACATGAACTTGTCGCGCCATCAAAGAACTTCTGCTGAGTAAGAGTAAATGACGGAGGAGCAGGGAGCTGGAGGCAGCACAGGGATGTGGGTAAAACTGTCACGTGGACCCCTTCTCCTCCAAGGTCAGTGGTTAGCGAGGCCACGGTCAGGAGTGATGGAGTCATCATAGACACAGACACGTGACTTCACTCTGGCGGCTCACACGGTGCATTTGCATTGCAAACCCGTTAGTGCAGATGGCAATGCGATCACCTCTGGGTCACTCACGCCCAATACCTGCCCACGGCTTTGGCTAACGGTGGCTATGAGGCCCGGCCCGAGCATTGGCAGGGGGCCACCAGGAAGGCCCACGCTCAAATCCGCTCCTGGATTCTCCTCACATTCTGTCTGCTAAAGGGCTACGGACGTCGGGGCCGTTGATCCTTATTGTCGCTTGTGTCGGAGACCAAGGGAAAGGGTGCAGCCTGTGACAGCGCCACCCTCTCTTTCTCCTAACTCGGCTGGTCCGGGGTTACGGAGCCCTGGCCTCCTCTCCCTGGGGCAAGCACCTGGCTTAGCGCCACTCACGTGAGGTGGGCTGTGCAGCAGCTCCTTCCCCAGCACCAAGGGAGAGGGACCAGCAGCCTGGAAACCTGTCCCCAGGGTCAGAGGACCGCGCTCATCACAGGGACACGGTGACCTGCAAACACCGCGTTTGCAAACAACACGGACTCCGTTCTGGCGGGCTGGGCCTTGCTCACAGAAGGCCCAGCCTTTCGGTTTGACTTAAGGTCAAGTCAGTAAAACATCCATTTAATGAAGGGAGATGTTAGCTCTTCAAAGAAGCCTTCCTTGGTAGAGAGGAGGGAACAAGGATTCAGCAATGTGTGCAGAAGCACCCTCAAAGGTGGTGCCTTCTCGATGGAGGGGACCCACACAGCCTGCACCAGAGGTGGCCTGGGGCTCAGAGGAAGGGGATGGGGCAGGGGGTTGGGGGGCAGACAGGGGGATAGGGCAGGCAGGGGGATGGGGCAGACAGGGGGATGGGGCAGGCAGGGGGATGGGGCAGGCAGGGGGATGGGGCAGGCAGGGGGATGAGGCAGGTGCAGGGGTGGAGGTGGGGGGATGGGATAGATGGAGCCAGAAGGCCTGTAGACAGGAGGCTTTCTCAGCTGCACCTCCCGGCTGGAACCCATCCCTCGCCAGCAGCCTACGGTGCTGTTCCGAGACCAAGCCCTGAACTGAGAGAGGAAACGCCAGCGCCGCCCCTGCCTCTCATTGTGACACGAGGTGCAGAGGAAGCTTATCTGCATTCAGTTCATAGTTCCGAGCCCACAGGGTCAAGTACTGACTGCGCTGCGGCCTGGGAAGGCGCGGGCCGGCCCCGGGCGCTCTCTCACGAGCTGATTCAAGCTGACTCACAGTCTGGGTTCCACGCTGCTCCACCGCAAGGAGTGAGGAAACCACCCTGGGTCACCCCGGGGTCACGGCTGGCCTGGGGCCTCTGCCATCCACCTGGGCTGGCTGCCCGCCACCTTCCCATTCCTCCGCCTGCACCACTCCCGCTGCTGCTTCCCACGCTCTTCGCCTGAACTGACACCCTAGACCTGCCTCTGTCCTCAGCCTCTGTGCTCACCCTGTGAGCCGGGCTCCAGACCTGCCTCTGTCCTCAGCCTCTGTGCTCACCTGTGACCCGGGCTCCAGACCTGCCTCTGTCCTCACCTGTGACCCGGGCTCTAGGCTGCCCCTGTCCTCACCCTGTGACCTGGGCTCCAGGCCCCTCTCCTCACTTGTGACCTGGACTCCAGGCCCCTGTACCCACCTGTGACCGGGCTCTAGGCTGCCCCTGTCCTCACCCTGTGACCCTGGGAACGGCCCTGCTCAGGTCTCCGGAGGCTCTCCCTGCAGCCTGGCCACCTCCCGCCCCTTTCACCTGCAGCCACTGCCTGTGTCCCGTGCACAGATTTAGGCCCGGATCCTCCACTGCGAGCCCCCCGAGCTGACATCACATTTGCATGGATTCCGGAGCTCCCCAGAATGGTGCCCTGCTCCCCACCCCCCACCACACACACACACACAGACACACAGACACACACACACACACACACACACACACACTCCCCAGGTCCCGGACGCTCAGGGGCACCTCCGGGCAGTGCTGCTCCTGCTGGGCCGGAGGTGGCTCCCAGCCTCACACGGTGCCCGCGGGGCTCGGCCCCTCCCCTGGCCGCTGACTTGGCTTCCAAACTCGCTCTCAGCTCCCTGCCCGCCGGGGGCCCACGCCGCCAGCAGCGCACCCTCAGCCCAGTCTCTGCACCCAAGCGCCTGAGTTACAGGGGTGCCTGGGACAGGGCACCCACAGGGGGAGCAGCGGAGGCCGGACACGCCACAGCCAGCGCCTCCCCTGACACCGCCCTGCTCTGCCCTGGCATCTGGGCGGTCAGCGGTCAGCGATCAGCGTGAGGGCACCCCGGAACAAGAGCCCTGACGAGGAGGATGCACACTGCCGCCATCGCCAGATGGGATCTGGCTCGCCCGGTCAGCTGAGGCCAAGACCACCGCCCCCAGCTCGGCAGGGCCTGTGCTCCTCCGGCTCCCGGCACCGCCTGTCCCTGTGAGCAGCGCCGTCACACCGCCCGCATCCAGATGGCACTCATTCCTGTCTGCGCAACCACAACGCTCAGCAGCCGAAGGGCCTTCACACGGGAGTGAGGGACCAGGGAAGGAGTAAAACAAGGCCTGTTCACACCCACTGAGAACAGACGCAGCATCACGAACAGGAGCCAGCGAGCGGCTTCAGGACGGCACTCCTTCGGCCGAGCAACATCGCCTTGACCCTCCCCCAGTCCCCTCACCTATAGGGCCCCATCCCCCCTCACCTATAGGGCTCCATCCCCCCTCACCTATAGGGCTCCATTCTCCCTCACCTATAGGGCTCCATTCTCCCTCACCTATAGGGCCCCATCCCCCCTCACCTATAGGGCTCCATTCTCCCTCACCTATAGGGCCCCATCCCCCCTCACCTATAGGGCTCCATCCCCCCTCACCTATAGGGCTCCATCCTCCCTCACCTATAGGGCTCCATTCTCCCTCACCTATAGGGCTTCATCCTCCCTCACCTATAGGGCTCCATTCTCCCTCACCTATAGGGCTCCATCCTCCCCTCACCTATAGGGCTCCATTCTCCCTCACCTATAGGGCTCCATCCCCCCTCACCTATAGGGCTCCATGGCCCCCCCCCTCCCAGCCCCCCTCACCTGTAGGGGGCTCCATGCCGCTCACCTGTAGGGCCCATGCCCCTCACCTGTAGGGCCCATGCCCCTCACCTGTAGGGCCCATGTCCCTCACCTGTAGGGCCCATGCCCCTCACCTGTAGGGCCCATGCCCCTCACCTGTAGGCCCATGCCGCTCACCTGTAGGGCCCATGCCCCTCACCTGTAGGGCCCATGCCGCTCACCTGTAGGGCCCATGCCCCTCACCTGTAGGGCCCATGCCCCTCACCTGTAGGCCCATGCCGCTCACCTGTAGGGCCCATGCCCCTCACCTGTAGGCCCATGCCCCTCACCTGTAGGGCCCATGCCGCTCACCTGTAGGGCTCCATGGTGCGGATGCCGTAGAAAAGGGCCTCCTCCAGCTGGCCCAGGCTGATGCAGGCGTCCAGGGCGCAGTCCAGCACCCGCAGCTGGTACACGTTGATGTCGGGGAGCCGCTCCGCGTTGCTGCTGATGACAGCCTGGCACCGCGCCAGCACCTGCTCCCACTCTGGTCGGCTGTCAAGGAGCATGGTGCTCACTGGACACAGCATCGGGGGGGGGGGGGGTACACCCATTACTTTGCCCAGAGGAGCTGGCAGGGAGCACCCTGAGGCACGAAGCCGGAGGGGCCCCTGGGAGAGGTGCATTCTGCCACCAGCAGCCCTCCTCCGCCTCCAGGCCGGTGCCCGGGATTAGGTCCTCCCATCCCTCAGCCTCTTCTGTGCTCCACCAGGAATGGAGGCTGTTTGCCACATGGAACTGAGACTCAGTTCAGTTTGAAGTGATTCACTCTTAGCCGGGTGTGACCCCGCTTTCCCAGACTCTATGCCTGGCCCTCCCACAGCGGGGGGCAGAGGGCGAGGACATGGCATGTGGAACCCCTTGAGTCCCTTTGAGACAATCACCCCACAAGCAGAGCCGGAGCGGGAGTGCTGGCACCGGGGACATCACTATTTTTCTTTAATCCGCACCTGGGAATACGCTGGTTTTAGATAAATTGGTTTTACAGAAAGAGGAGGCGAGAGAGAAACATGGATGTGGGAAACTTTGATGGACTGTCTCCTGTAAGCACCTGTAAACCTGTAAACTGTCTCCTGTAAACTGGGAACAGAACCTGCGACCTTTCGGAGTGCGGGAGGCGCTCCCATCAACCGAGCCGCCTGCCAGGCCCCACGTGGCTTCTTTCCCACGCGTGAGGCCCAGGAAGGTGCTGGGAGGGGGCAGGCCATCCCCCCCCCCCGCCCCGCCCCCACCTTCAACCTGTAGCTCCCAATCCACCTGCCCTCATGCTGGAATTCCTGGGTGAAGGTTAGCAGATTCCAGATGCTGCAGAAGTGCAGGCCTCTGGCCGGATAAAGCTGGATTTCTATCTAACTTTGTTCTGCCATTTGTCTGATCTGAGGTTCAGCACATCTAAGCTAAGCGCTCTGAGGCAGGCCAGACATGAAAGTGCCCGACGTCACTGTGAAAACGGACATGCCGTGTGTAAACGTTTAAAAAGTCCCGAGTCCCACTGTGAACAGCGAGCTCTGGGTGCCAGCCACGGCGGGAGAGCACTCGCTGGGGGGCATCCAATGGGCTGGGTACCACATCACTGCTCTCCCTCCCTTTCCGGTCAGGCCTCCGAGAGGGACGAGGCTGAAGGAAAATGGCTCAGTGGATGGAGTCTGATCGGATGTCCTCCCCCCACACTATCAGCCTCTTCGCCATCCAGGGCTCCCCTGTCCCTCCACCCCCAACTCCAAGCCTCTTCTGGGTCCCACTCAGCAAGCCCCGCCCTGGACAGAGGCCGGCTTCCGGGCTCCTTCCTCCCTCCTTCCGGCAGCATGGACCTCCCCCAACATCCTGATCCCTGGGGCACTGCTTCGCCAACCACTGGCCAGCACTGGCAATAACCCATCAGCCATTGCTTTGCTAACCACTGGCCAGCACTGGCCATAAACCCATCAGCCGCTGAATCGGGGGCACGGACATCTCCGCTCACCCTCACGGGACATACACGCTCCTCCTGAGGGTGGGGGCCTTCTGGAGGCCAACACCTCGCCCGGAGTATTGGGGCGATGCCCAGGCTGGCACACCTGCTGAGGCTGGCCCAGATCACCCTGCTGGGCACCGCACTCTGTGTTTGAGGATGAGTCCCGTCTCGGGGAGCGGGCCCTGGTATGGGACGAGGTGCGTTGATTGTGTCCATCTGTGTGTGTGTCGGTTTGCTGAGCGAGCCTCCCGGAGGTGGGAAGCCTCGGAGGCGGCGCTGGCTCTGTAACAGATTGCCGGCTCACCTCTGTGGCTTTCCCTCCAGGATCAGACGTCTGACGCACCGTCGGGGGACATGCCTGCCTCTGACACACGCCAGACATTTCTGTGGCGAGGCGCTGCCCTGATCTGAACACTGTGATGTCTGACCTCTGTTATCCACCTTCCCGTCCCAGAGGCTCCCGCTCACTTTAGAGGGTTTGAAGCTGACAAGCCTCAGAAGCAAAGGCTGGAGGAGACACGCTGCAGCCCCTGATGGGAACACATCTGCCTTCCCCCGGCGAGGCAGGCGGGAGGGGACCACGTGCCAATTCCCTTCGCAGCCCTGGCAGCTGTCTCCCGGAAAACAGCCAGCCCTCCCTGTAAAACACCCCGGTGAGCAAAAAATGGAATAATTTTAACTCGGAGCTTTCCCCCGGCCAATGCCGACGTGTGTTTGCTCAAGTCCCGGCGCTGGCTTGGTGTTTGCTTCTGCTCCTGCTGCTCCGCACGCAGAGTGCCCTGGACCCACTGGGGCTGGCGAGCCCGCCCCACAGCAGGCCCTCAATGGACAGAGCAGACTCCCTTTCCCCTGAAAACTTTACATCCCCATCAGAGGATTGGGGGGAGAAAGAGGGGGACAGAGTGGAGCCACTTGGGAATTAATCAGCTCCTTGAGACAAAGACCGGGACCACAAGGCTTCTACTCACCTGCTCATCTTATTCTGCTGCTCAACCTACCCCTCCCCGTCCCCTTCCCATCCCAGTCCCCTCACCTACAAAGCCCACCTGCTGCTTGTGGGCACGGCTGTTTCCTGACCGCAGGCCAGTGCGCCCACGTGCCTCCTGCAGGCCCCTCCCGCTGCTGGACGCCCTGCCCTGTGGGCTCCAAGGGACTCGCTGACCCTCCCAGCACAGCTCAGTGTGGCCTCCTCTGTGGCCCCTGCTGTGACCTCCACATTGACTAACCCTCCGATGCCCCTAGGCCGTATGCTGGCAGACCTCAGGGAGACTGCGGTTTGGGGGTCTGGGTCCAGACCACTGCTGGAGCGAGCTGTAATCCTTTGGTCTTGCCTTCTGTAAGATATACACCTGTCGCCCTAACTGGTTTGGCTCAGTGGACAGAGCGTGGCCCATGGCCTGAAGGGCATGTGCCTGCGTTTCGGGCTTGATCCGCATGTGCAGGAGGCAACCAATCCATGTCTCTCTCTCTCTGTCTCGCCCCTCCCTTCCACTCTCTCTAAAAATCAAGGGAAACATATCCTCAGGGGAGGGTTGACAACCACCACCACAAAAATACAACACCTATGAAGCTCATAAAGCAAAGTACAATAGGATAAGTGACACCTACATTTTACCAAAATACCTATTAATTTACGGATTTACTGACCCCCACTGTGTGTGAGTGGATAAAGCCCACTGGGAAGGCAAAGCCTGGCCTTGGGTTCATCAATGCCAGACTCCAGCCAAGAAGGAAGCAATCCCAACAGCACGCCTCACCCACAGGGAAAAAAGGATACTTCTCTGGGCCTTTAGTTCTTCGATTTCCTTCAAGGATTCTTGAACTTCCTTCCACACTTTCTCATCACCAGCCAGCATGTCCGCATCCTGCGCAGGCCAATTAAGACAAGAGGAAGGAAAACAAATTACTCGATTGAGAAATGGGCTAAGGACTGGACTCTTCTCCAAAGACGATATTCAAATGGCCCATAAGCACATGAAAATATCCTCAAGCCATTGGCCATTAGGGAAACGCAAATCAAAACCACAATGAGGTGTCACTTTACACCCAGGAGAATGGCTTCAGTGAAAAATACAGAAAACAACAAGTGTTGGCGAGGATACGGAAAACTGGAACTCCTGTATGCTGCTGAAAGGAGTGGAAAATGGGACAATCATTTCGAAGAACAGTCGGGAAGTTTCTCAAGAGATTAAGCATAGACTTACCTTATCATTTACCAATCCCGCTCCTTATGCATATAACCAAGGGAAATGATAATATATGTTCACACACAAACTTGTGTGTACGTGTTCATAGCAGCATTATTCTTAAGAGCAAAAAGGTGGACGCAAGCCAAATGTTCGTCAACTAATGAATGAATAAAATGTGGCCCATCCATATAACGGAATACTAGCTGGCAATAAAGCGGCACAGATAGATGCTGACACATCTCCATCAATACGCTTCCATTAATACGGGGTATCGATCAACATGATACTCCGTATTATGTTGGGGAAGGGAGACGAGTACCATGTTTGAAAACATGCTTCTACATGAAAGAATCCCATCACAAAGGCCTACAAAGTCTATGGTTCCACTTAGATAAACTGTTCACGGGAGGCAAACGCACAGACAGAACGTGGGTGAGTCGTTGGCTAAGACTGTGGGAGAGCGTGGAGAGCACTGGGGAGTGACTGCTGATGAGAATGGGGTTTATTTTGGGGGTGACGGTAATGTTCTTAGAAAACCCATTGTGACAACGGTTCCACAAAGAATGCACAGAAAGCTATTAAACATACACTTCACTGTCTGAATTGATAGTATGATACATACATGTAGACATAGCTCTGTCTCTATCTCTGAAAGACCTGACGGGGAAGAGGGAGAAGTGAAAGAACCACTTGTTGGGAGACCTAGCTCTCTATCAATATGGAGTATCGATCAACACGAGGCTGGGGAAAGGAGACGAGTACCATCACACCCATGCCTGTGAACCAGTTTTTACTTTTGCGAAAACTAAAAATCCATCCATCAATGAAAAGACAACAATTTACAAAGCAATTAAAGACAAAAGTGTGAGTTACGTTTGCTAAAGGTCTGTCCTCCTGCTTAGCAAGCAGGTACCTGTTTTTCCTGTCTGTCCCCAGAGTCCCCGGCCCCGTGTGGCTGCGGACACCACACGGGCAGCGGTTGGTGCCGGGTTCTGTCACCGTGGCCAGTTGATGGGCAGATGCAGAGAGAAGCCAAGTGAAGGAGAAGGAGCCTGTACAACCTGCACCCGCTCCCTGGAGACTCACTGCCACAGGGCTGGTGACAGAGTGACTGTGAGACCGCTGTCAGAGCGAGCGCCTGTGACTGGGGAAAGGAACGCCTCTCTCGGGTGCCGGGCAGAAAAACGCTGGGGCCACGGAGAAGCACGGAAAAGAGGCCCCAGGCAGGGGAGGCAGAGGGCGTCTCTGAGAACAGAGCAGGGAAGAAATCAGACAAGCAGTGTTCACACTGAAGAGATAGGAGAGGGATGGAATGGCAGGAAACACGCACACGGAAAGTATGTATCTGTCACGGGCAAAACAGACAAACAGGAAGAGGGGATCCCCGGGGTGGGCCAGCCTGGCCTCAGGGAGGTCCATGTTAAGGACACAGCCAGGAAAGGCCCCCCTGAGAAGGTGACATATGAGGAAGGAGCTGAAGGAGGAGGAGATACAAGTCTAGGGAGAGGGGACAGCAGGTGCCAAGGCGAAGCAGGAGGTGCCCAGCTGCCCCAGGAATACCAGGAAGCCAGCGTGATCGAGTTCCCGGGTTGTGCGTGTCCCATCTTCCCCGTCTTATTATTTGTTCTATATTGTTAATAGTTTATTGATTGATTTTTAGAGAGAGAAGCAGGGAGAGGGAGAGAGAGAAACAACGTGAGAGGGCAATATTGATCAGTCTCCTCCTGCACTCCCCTGGATGGAGCCTGCAACCCGGACATGTGCCCTTGACTGGGAATTGAACCAGCAACCTCCTGGTACAGGGGAGACACCCAGACCACTGAGCCACCTGGCCAGGGGCACATCATCCCCATTTCAGAGCTAAAGGAAAGTCTTGTTCTTCTTTGATCCCGCCTCTCCTAAATACCTGGCATACAATCTCTTATGTAGCAAATGCTCAGATAACAGTCTGGAGAGTGGAGCTGAAGGAGGAAACATGTTTATTTGGTAATGACCTGGATGCCTCCTGTATGCCTTTCCATGATTCCTCACAGCCTCTGGCAATGAATACCTACAACGTACACCTGCGGCACAGACAGTCCTAAGTCATAAGGAACCGCGGGGAAAAGGCTTCTGTCCCCAGTTGCCACGTGTAAGATTCACATCCACGTCTCTCTGGCTCCGGGGCCTATCTCTTTCCAGATCTTCACGTTTGCTTTGGATTTGTTTTTCTCCCAGGCTGCTTAAAGATGAAACTCATGTTTGGGAGGTAGTAAGTTCAAAACACCTTCAACGCGTGGGTCCTACCGTATTCCTAGCACTGGCACTTGGAAAGGGGCAGTCAAATCCTCCGGCAGGGAGCTCACGTGGGGTTCCTGAATTCTTCCTCCAAGCAGGGTGAGACTATGGGTCCAGGCAGAGCAGCTAAACTGCCATCATATCCCCAACCATCTCCTCATAACCGGACCAGCTGTCCTCTGGGTGCGCCAAAGACTTTATTTACTTATCCAAAGACCAGGCAAGCTTTACTAGTGCTTCCAGACATCCAGGGCAAGAGCTCTCGAGAGCACTTCACACTGGAGCTGGATGGAGCTCCCTTCTCTGACAACTAGCTTCCAACTCTCCGGAGGGCTCCACGAGGTGAAAGTCGACTCCCAGTTCCCAGATCCTGCACGCATCCCACCCAGTCCCACTCTGCTCCACTGGGCGCCCATTTCCACTCACTGCTCTGGCTTCCTTCCCCGAGTCCCTTTAGGACCCAGCCCCAATGGCCCCTATCAGGAAACCCGTTCTCATTTGCCCTCTGGCCACGGCCATCTGCTGCCTGTCCTGTACTCCAGTGTCATTAATAATGGACTTCCCCATCGCCACGCTCGCTGGAGCTCCTGGAGGGACCATGACCTCATCGGCTCTGTATTCCCATTCTGGCGTAGGGGACGCATTCGCAGCGAATGTCTGTGACAGAGTGGATGGATGGAGAGAGAGGAGTGATCGCCCACAATCCCAGGAGCAGTATCCTAAGAATAAGACACCTAATTCCACAACAAGGAGAATTCCAACCAAGGAAACGGAAGTGGTTCTTCTCACACCACACTTCCCTCTCGCCTTGTTTCTACTGTTGATGGCTACACGGTGATGATGTGAGAAAGCGGTGTCCCTGCTGTCCTGTCAGCATGCCAAAGGCCCAGACACTGGTGGGGGCCCCAGCGGGACTCTCCCAGCATGAGAAGTCCCCGTCAGCTCCGGCTCTGAGAGCAGCATCGAGGCTGTTTGGGAGCAGGTTCTGCTGACTCTCCTGGCTCCTACCTCCATCATCATCCTGCGCCTCCTACTGCTCATCCGCCCCACACACATTCCTCCCCATACATCCCTCCCCACACACCCCTGCCCCCCACACCTTTCGCCCCACACATCCCTGCCCCACACACTCCTGCCCCATACACCTCTCCCCATACACCCCTGCCCCATTTACCCCAGGATGAGTCGGTGAGGCTGTCTATGCTCCCGTAGACACAGCTGATAAATCAGCTCTCTAGTGTCATCCCTTTAGCTGTGAGAAATCGGGAGAAATCGGTACCAGATGATATGAGATCATCTCACCATACATGAAAGTGTGCCACTCAACACAACTGCATCCAATTGGCCAGCAGTTTCCTTCCTTTGGGCCTGAGGGCAGGAAGCACACCTGCAGGTGCCCAGGGCTGCAGCGCATCAGAGACCTGTGCTGCTTCAGCAGAAAGAGGCTGGGGTCCGGCCAGACTGGCTGAGCGTGTCTGGGGGACACAATCCACCGGGTCAGACCATGACCACGGGCTCCACAGGGTCAAACGGTGACCACGGGCTCCACCGGGTCAGATGGCGGCCACGGGCTCCACCGGGTCAGATGGCGGCCACGGGCTCCACCGGGTCAGTGACCATGGGCTCCACAGGGTCAAACGGTGACCATTGGCTCCACTGGGTCAGATGGCGGCCACGGGCTCCACCGGGTCAGACTGGGACCACAGGCTCCACCAGGTTAGACAGTGACCACGGGCTCCACCAGGTCAGATGGTGGCCAAGGGCTCCACCGGGTCACACACTGACGATGGGATCCACAGGGTCAGACCGTGGCCCTGGACTCCACCAGGTCAGATGGTGGACACGGGCTCCACGGGGTCAGACGGCTACCATGGGCTCCACTGGGTCAGACACGAGCTCCACCGGGTCAGACGGTGGCCATGGGCTCCACGGGGTCAGTGACCACGGGCTCCACCAGGTCAGACGGTGACCACGGGCTCCACGGGTCAGATACTGACCACGAGCTCCACCAGTTCAGATGGTGGCCATGGGCTCCACCGGATCAGATACTGATCACAGGCTCCACCAGGTCAGATGGCAGCCACAGGCTCGACTGGGTCAGATGATGGCCACGGGATCCATTGGGTCAGTGACCACGGCCTCCACCGGGTCAGACACTGACCATGGGCTCCACCGGTCAGACGGAGACTATTGGATTCACTGGGTCAGACGGCACTGGGTCACTGGCTCCATCGGGTCAGTGACCACGGGCTCCACTGGGTCAGACACTGACCATGGGCTCCACCAGGTCAGACACTGACCACAGGCTCAACCAGGTCAGATGGTGGCCACGGGCTCCACCGGGTAAGTGACCACGGGCTCCACCGGGTCAGAAGTGACCACGGGCTCCTCTGGGTCGG